TTCCCTACATTTAGAATATCCTGAGATACTAAATTTAAAATGATGTACTAGGAGAGTTGTATGAAAACAACAGCATCTGTGAGACATACCAGATGAAAACCTATCTGGAGAAGTTATGGAAGTATAGTTAATTTTATCAGAGCTGTGACTTGTATAGAGATTTACCCAACCTCCAGAAAATTACTCAAAAAATTAAGAATACAGAAATACAAAGAATCTACAGTATACCACATTTAAAAAGTAGTTGTATGGAATAAATTAGTCAAAAGAATATTATTTTCTAATTTAACTTCCATTTGTTAGTGAGGGATCCTCTGCTTCCCCAGTGCCTGTATCTGGCAGTAGCATAACCTTATACTGTAGAAAATAGGGGCTACTTCAATGTCCTCCATTCTTGGTCTCTGAATCTTGTTGGTATCCACATTTAGAGTGTAACTGTACTCTTTAACACAAAGGAAAGGCAAGCCTATGGCACAAATTAAAGCAGTAAGTAAAGAAATGTATCTTAAATTGCCTTTGTAGTTTGAGCACACTAGTGGTGTATGTGGGGACATGATCAGGCCACATAAAACAGGAAAGCAAGATGGCTGCAAGGCCTTCTCATTCCTCAGGACTCAGAAAGAAACGGATTCCTCTGGACTGGGTGACTTTAAGTTCATTTCTATCCTCATAATTTATATCAGGTCCGAATAAAGCAGGACCAGGATATTATACTATGTCCATGAATTCACTTTTAATGGCATTGTCTGTTGCAGTTCATTCTGACTCCTGCATTATCTAATCTGAATTGCCTTAGCACACAGAAACACACGTCAGAACCGGGGTACTCCTGCATTAGGTGCAGTCCATGGAGGATGCAGAGAATCTCAACTCTCTTTGGTAACATTTGACAGCAGAAAGAAGAGGGATAAACTCAAGTCTCTTCCCTCTTTTTTTCCCTTTTCTTACACAAAGCCATTAATATTGAAGACTTTTTCCTCTGAGGAGAGAAGCTCACCACAGAATGACCTCCATTTAGAAGATATAGAATACTTTTTCTTGCAATCCTGTTTCTTGCATATCTAACAGTTATGCTGGAACAGATCGTGCCTCTAGCAGCCCTTTGAGAATGTTTCTGGGAACCCAGTTGCCCAGGGGGCGAAGTGGATACAAAAGTATCGGAAGATTAGCAAAGTAATTTAAGAGCACAGCTGGTGAGGGAAGAGGATGT